GGATTTTCTATTTTCAAATAAATAAATAAATTTACTTAGCCAACGAACATTGTCGTGTTGCAGTAAGTCAGAATACGCTGTCAAAAAGAAAATCCTTGGAATGTCGGTGCTGAAGAGCAGAATGAGATCTCATAAAATTAATCAACTTGACCAAGCTGTCCATCACTTATTTCAGTGTTGCACTAAGTTTTCCATAAAGGGCTGCCTGGCGAATTATCCACTGATGTGATATTAGACCTGAGTTTCCATCCCCGATTCTCTTTACTACATCTTTTTCTCTGCCAATCATTGCTGGGTCAGTTGAAAGCGATACCATTTTATCTTAACTAATGTTAGATTTAGTAATAAATTCATCAATGACCTTGGATAAATCTTCTCCTCGAGTGTAAATTTTCAAAGGCAATATTGCTAGTAACTCTTCCCTAAAAATCTGACACTCAATATCAAGAAATATTAAGAAAATAGACATTTGTTCATCATCAAGTGCTATGGCGTAGCAAGGTGCTTTTCGCAAAAGATCAAAAAGTGTGTTTTCAATATCAGCGGCAAAAATTTCCGTTTTTCGTGTATTACTTCTCGTTGATAATGGAATACTTCAAAATGTAGCGACATCTTTTTTCTTCAAAAAGTGCCGTGACTACTTCTAACATACATTTTTTCACCTTCTCAGAATCTGAAAACGGTTTCTGCTGTTTTGCTCACTTATGCAACAAACTAGTAACTTCGTGCCTTTTTTATGAGAACTGGGATATGAATGAAGTTTTTCTTTACGAGCCTCACTGCCAAGAGGAAAATTTTTGTGAAATTGCTGATGAGTTGTTTCGTAGTGTCGATTCAAATTACCACTCCTAAAAATAGCGACAGTTTTATTGCATATAAGGCATATTGGAACCGCTTCAGGCTTATTAGGCAGCGTAAAACAAAATTGTTCAGTCCATTCTGCTACTTCACGCTTTTTAGAATCCATATTAGCATAGGTTCGAAAATATTATGAAAACGCGAAAAATCACAAAACAAATGAATGGTTGCTCCGCGGTTTGCGCTACGACTGACAGCTTGTTTCCCTTACCCACACCCCCTGATTTCGATACTCGCTCGTGCTTGTTTTAACAAAACAAAATAGTGGCAAGCGCGCACAAACATACATACACACAGGCTAGGTACTTGTAAAACAGGCAACTTAAAATGAAATAAGTACATATTCAGTTGAATTCTATGTGACTTGAAAATATTACTTTAATTTATAAAAGTATGGCATAACTTATCTACGTATTAATTTTTATACATTATAATATTTGGCGGTACTCTTGTCTCTCTGTCTTGCCTCTTGTCGTCTCTGGCCAAGATAAAAATTTATAGATGAATAATTTCATTCTACCTCGATAGGAATTGAGGCTATTCCCCTTTTGTGATATATCTTACTCGTATATCTGACCTCAACGATCTGACAACGCCTAAACTGAAAGATAATTCAGTTACAGGTGATTTGGTTTTCATGAAAAAAATACAAAAAACAATGGATTTGTTCGAGGAGTTTGTATATAATCACTAATTATTAAACATTCAATTGCGATATTATTCTTATATATCCAGAGAGGTCAAATTTTGACAATAACGATAACAAAATGAGATATATTAGCATATCAAATTCTTTGAAAACAAATATTTTTCAAACTCCATTCATTCACACAAGGTCATAGATACAATAGTTCATTTGAATGTCGAGGACGAAATCTACGTTACAATATTCCTTCTCCTGAAACCGGATGTTTTTTTGCTGCAGGTACGATATTTAATTTAAATCACCAGATTTTTCTGATCTAAGTCTTTCTCGATTGTTTGTTTTCCTAATTTACTGTTTGCAAATATCTAACTGCGAATAACTTACAAATAACTGTACATCGTCCATGAGTCTATTGGAAATTCCCACATCAGAACAAAAGTACTGTCTCTTAATATGCGTTTCACTAACCAAGTGAGCATCGTCAGAAAATGACAGTTGACCAAAACTATTCTTTTTAACTGAGTTCATTCGTTATTCGAAATTGTTTTATTCGGTTCAAAAATTGTATTTGCTTGATAGATAATGGTGCTAATAAAAATATAATTTTTGAGGAAAAAAACAGAATGTCAAGAAATTGATGAAAATGTTCAAAATCGTGTATGAAAGTAGACTGCTTGATACTTTGAACACGTTTAGACGTAATTACACTTTTGCCTAATTTCCACTAGTTATTTTATTTTAACGACCGGTTTCGAGTTTTATTCCATCTTCAAGTATGAAATTAACATTATATGTTGTAAAAATGAAATAACTAGTGTATATTAGACTGAAGTGTTTCTATTCATTTCATTAAAGTGATCATGAATTTCCACAAAATAAACAAGTCATCAGTCACACATATTAGACGTAATAGTTCATGTCCAAAAAGGAAACACTTGTACTTGAAAATATTTTTATTTCCTGGTAACAATTGGGGTATGTGAAAAATTGATCTCTTCTTGAGTACCTATACGGTAGCAAAATACTTACGAAGGCAGTGTCTCAATGCATCTCCAGCTTCACCAGCAGTAATACCTTTCCTGACGCCACATTCATTTATAACTTCGTTAATTTTATCAGCACCAAATTTATGACGTTGTGCGAGGTTTTTCCTCAAAACAACTTCGTCAATGTCTCCATTTTCTTTCTGTATACCAAATTTGACGTTCATGCAAAGGAAAAGAGGTTTTATTGCATCTGGTTTCTTGCACTCGCTCTCGACATTTCGATATAACTCCCCTATGTTTTCAGCATTGGCCTGAAATTAGAAAACGTTTTCATCTACTGTCTAAGAGACGATTTATATATTTAGAAAACTTTAGAAAAATCGATAAGTTTCCACTGATTATAATACTTATGGTTATTAGTTTGATAGTAGGAAAATCTATCTAAAATGAAAAGTTTTTTTCTGAGAAGTGAAATTATCACCATGGATCAAAATTGATTCTGCCTTCATTAACAGACCGAGAGTGATAGAGGGCAAGTGGTAATCTTCTCCATTAAAATTATAAAAACCTCAAGAAAAAAGTTTGTCATTCTGATATATTGCATAACTTGACAACAAATTGGAAAATAATCTGTAAAAACTATAAATTTTCAGGACGTAAATAATGGAACTTGCCAATGAATATAAAAAATCAGATATGCTCATTGTTGGTTAATTGTATTCATTACAAAGGCCAACAAAAAACTTTGTTTATTTTAATAGTAAATTTTGTAGATTTTTGTGTGCTGAATCCAAATCTGGTCTTAGTTTTTTTGTATCACCCATAGTTTTTGAGAAATTGACGTTTTTATATAATTTAAAATCTGTACGGTATATGGTAAAATTAATGAAACACTATGTTAAATCACCATCATGGTTTTTATTGACAGTAGGTTACTTGAAATAATGATACAGTGTTGTAATGTAGGTTTCACTAGTCAGATAGAATTGGTTTATTCCTTTCTCTTTTTTGATGTTGTTTTGATGATGTTGATGTTCCAGCGGCCCTGGTAACGTTTTTCCATCAATTTAATATTTTGGTGAATATGATCACCCTGCTCCTCACTAACATCTCCCAAATTTTCCGGGAAGTAATCAAGATGACTGTTCGAAAAGTGGACTTTCAGGCCCATCAAACATTCTAGTTTCTTAAAATTTTTCAACATGTTAGCTACAAAAGTTCAATATTCTGGGTCTTTCGTATTTCCTAAGAATTTTTTAATAACTTGCTTGAATGATACCCATGCATCTTTCTCATGTACGGTCATTGTGGTTTCAAAGTTTGCGTTGAACATCACTTTTCGAATGTCGGGTCCTACGAAGATGCCTTCTTCAAGTTTATCCTCTGAAAGGTTTGGAAATTTCTGACAGAGATACTTGAAACAAGGTCCATCTTTAGGCAATAGACTGTTTCATGAGGACTAACTTCATATGTAGAGGTGGTAAGAGAATGTTTCTAGGACCTACAAGATTTTTGCGGACAATGTTCTTCTCGCCGGGTTTTAAAGGCTCCCTGACAGGCCAGTTCTTTCTGCTTCAATATTGATCCCTTGCTCTACTGTCCCAATCATACAATAAACATGGAGATTTGGTAAAACCGCCTTGCTAACCAAGAAGCATGCATGTTGCTTTCAAGTCACCACATATCATCAAACCATGCGCCGAATAGCCAATTTCATTCAAAACTATTTCTAGGTTTTTATAGGTTTCTCTCATATGTACAGAATGACCAACAGGTATAGATGCATACGTGTTACTATTGTGTAATAAACATCTTTCAAACTGGTTTTGGAAGAATCAATAAACAGCTTCCAGTCTTCGTTTTTGTATTCAACACCAAACTCTTTGATCAGACCTGGAATGTCTGAGCAGTCCACTAAATCACCTTCAAGTTCGAAAAATTTGAAAACTGCTGCTCTCTCTTCCTATACACATATAAGCTAGTTCCAACTGCCAACAAGTTCTTTTATTTTAGTCTAGAATCAAGCAATTCAGTATTTTCTTTTCTCAGCCCAAGATCCGTAACTAAGTCGTTAAGCTCAATCTGAGTAAACAGTTTAGGCTCTATATTTGCTGTAGCACATTGGAACTCTTCATCATCTTGCTCATCTATATCTGACAGTACATCAGAAAACATTTCAGTTTGAACAGAATTCAAATCATCTGGATGTTCTGGGACCGGCAAATCTACATCGTGCCCTACTGGTCGGATGGCGGAAATTAGGTTAGGGTAGCTTATTACCTTCTTGTTTTTCGAGTTATGGCCAGTAATATCAATACTACAAAAGTGGTAATCATCAGTGTGGTTTCTAGGTTCCCTCCATACCATAGGAACAGTGTACTCAAAAGCTTTTTTTCTCCTTTTTTAACCATTTTCTAAGATCTTCAACACAAACATAACATACCTTATGTGGGGTCCAAGATTTATCCTGATCAACAAGTTTAATTCCAAAATATGAGAAATAAAACTTTTTCGCAAAGTCTGTAATGTTTCTTTGATGTTTTTTAATAACAAACTCACCACATATATAATAAAAACTGTCAGCATAGTTCTTAAAACCGCGATTAGACATTTTAATGAGCACATGTACTGGAACAGAAAGTAAGGTTAGGTTGACAGTAAACAAAACATCGGCTGTAAACATAAAAATATAATTCCCCTTTTTCTGGACAGTAAATGTGTTTCAGCAATGCTGCCAACTCTTCTATATCCAGCACAAATTACTTTATAATTCTATTTGTAGTATATAAAAGCTGTAATAAATGAAAAAAAATAATATATTGTTGTGCAAATGTGAAAAAATGTGAAAAAATAACTTTTTTCTATTCAGTTTGTACTCGAAACAGTCGTTATGGAATTGAATCAGATATCATTTATAGGAACTCTACATAATATAATATATGAGAGAGTTACGATATATTTCACTAACATGGAACACTGATATCCTCAATTTTGCAAAAAAAATTGCACAACTTAGATTTATTGAGTCTTGTTATACTACGACCTAAAGGAGTAGTATACTAGGTACTGTCTGCAGAACATACCACAATTTATTTATTTGACGAGACAGACTTCTGCTTGCTATGAATGAAGAGTTTAGAATTAGTATATTACGCACCTAGGGAGAAAAGTAAGGCGAAATTTTGTTTTGACAAAATCGCGGCCGAGTATGCCGTACCTTTCACCCTTAGTGGGTACACGATTTTCCCACTGCGGAATGAAAAGTTCGATCCTTTCATTGATTTAGCGTTTTTCAATCACAGATTATAGTTATTTATTATACAAGGGAAAAAGTATTAGAACCGAGAGCTAAAATCTAATATTTTTCCCGTGTATAATACACAATTTTTTTCTGTGATGGGAAAAACGACGATTTAATATTGAAAAAAAAAACATATTATTACAATATGTTAAAGTCAGAAAATTATCGATGTGAAATTTGAATTTTTAAACAGATAGGCTGTTGTACTAAAAGCGTTGCTAGGAAACCAATCAATAGAAAATCAAATATCTCGTAATTTAATTTGTAGGGCATG